ACTACTAAAAGTGACTAGAAAACCAATTGAAAACTATTAGTAAGGAAACGTTAAATGTTAATCAATCTTTACTTCGCGTTTCTTTTTTCTGAAGGAACGGTGTTTAGTTTTTTATAAATACCTAGATAAAGTTTAGGATTAAACTAAACATCCCTTTTAAAATGGTGCCAACGAATTTATACATGAAGTAACGGAAACATTCTGAATGCAATATTATAAAAAAAAATTTTTTGGTATTTACCTTATAAAAAAAAAGTTTTCGGTTCGACAAAATATAATCTAGTCACAATTGACAAGAAATGGCAAGAAAATCATAAAGAAATTAGCAAAATAAAATTAAATAAAATCGACAAAAAGACAAACTAACCAACTCCAGATGCATATAAAGAAACATCGTCATCTGGCTACTGAATTAAATGATTTCGAAGAACGAACATGCCATGTTGCAGCATATTCTTGGTTGCGTTCATCTTCATCAAAGGCGACAATGGCCAATTTTCAGTACTTAAAACCGTAGTTAGTAGTACGAATAATAATAATTTAATAATAACATTAAATAGCTTTATTGCTTTAGCGTTTAATAACAGTAACATTGACAAAGGGCTAAAAAAATTAGACATCTGGTACAGCCAGATACTATTACGACCCAAAATTTGGCATTTAATTAACTAAAATGAAAAGCGTTGTTAATAATTAACTGTAATTAACTAAATTTATTAATTGTCGATAGAACGCAGGAAAAAACAGCCCGTATTTGGGTGTCGTTCTTTGTATCGCAGATACACATAAAATCGAGGTCAATGAAATCTTGTTAATGGGCATTTTTTCCACTCAAAAGGCAATTTTTAAATTTATTTTCCGAGGCCAACAGCGTCAGAGAGAAGTATATTAATGAGACATACTAATTAATCATCTTTACAATGTGGGCTGAGATGGACCTTTCGAAACGCTCTTACTAGGGAGACCTCGTCAGAGGAGATTCGAATTGTGCACATCCGTTAGTTTTATTGTAATGTAAAGTTGTTGGGGGAAAACCACAAATTCTATAACGTGCATCTCTACAAATCACACGAGGCACCGGCGTTGAACACCCGAAAGCAGCCGAAACATTTATCCAAATAAAGAGAGAGGTTAAAATACAAGTGTAATCACGGCTCAGATAGCAAATTAATTTATAAAATGCGGTGAAATTTATTTTACGTTGGTTAATTATCTATATACGTGGTTTCCACTATACGTACTTACAGACACAATAAAATTAACAGTTTACAAAATAAAATAGAGGTTATTGGACATGATATAAAGAACAACAATTTACGCTATTGTTTAAGCTAAAAAAAAGTATAACTTCTATTAAACATACTACAATGAAGGTATAGGTAGGTATTTCATTGGTACCTAAGGGATTTTTATTTTACAATTTACAATGGGCGCTGTTCTTTTCTAAAATTTTAATGTTATTTCATTTTTTTCATACTTGTTATCCTGAGAACTACTTAGGTAAATTTTATTTTTTTTGTATAATCTAAAGTGCTTTTAATTGACAACCATATCCTCAAAATCATATTGCTTATTGAATAAATTTAAAAAACCTCAATAATTTTAGCTGTGAAAACAATTGGGCACACGTGTTTATTAACCTTTCACGATTCGTGATAATCGCCGTATGCGATTTTCCGAGTAAGAGGTACCTAAATACAATTTTACTATGACCCCAATGATTTATTTAAAATAATTGTGAACCTTTAAACAAACACATTTATGATAGGTTTGACTCGTTGATTAATTAAAATGCAATTGAACCTTTTAAGCTGAGTCACTGTAAATGTTAACAGATGCATTTTAAAAACATTGTAATGTAAACAAATCGTAATTATTCTCTATGGAGGAAAATTCTTTCTCCCTCCACGGAAACGCTTTGCCGGCCTCCCTCATGCGCTGCCCCGAACGAGCCTCGAACGCCCCGATACGATTTGGACAAATACGGCTATCTCAGTTGTTGGTGTAAAGTTTATATCGATTGCACATATTAAACAAGCCTGATCTAACCAGATATGGCGAAATATTAAATTCTTCGCAAGAGCACCTTCACCAGATGTAAAACCCTTTTGTTTCGAGGGCAAAATATTTGAGAAATGCTCTCATTTGCTTGTCCGTTTTTTCTCCAGAATCAAGCTCTGCAGATGTTTAAATTTTAGCCCTTAAGGCACCTAAAAAATATTCTACGGCTACTATGCCTACTATACCTCCCATGCGCCTGGAACCACCGTCAAAGCATTTTTAGTTTTTTTTAGTTTAACACGATTCTAGATGACTCAAAATCATTTAATATTGGGCTACTAAAGGTTTATTGACGTGCCTTTTCTGTGCCCGTGCTTGCTTCCACAGTACAGGTAAATATGAATAGAAAATGCATTCTTTAATTATGTGGACAATATACTGCAGAATTATAAGGAAACAAAGTTGCAATAAAGTGTTATTAATACCGATGGTTCCTGTTGTCCCAGTCTTAACAATGTGGTATCAAACATATAGATGCTACTCGTAAAAAAATGTTTGCAAGTAAACTGGTGTTCCCATTTCACTATGAAAAATGAACCGACGCATTAAAATAGACAGTTTGTTAAAAAATTATATAAACTGGACTAAAATATTGACTTGTGTACTTGTTCCTCCTGAAAGTATTTTCTCAATATTGATATTTCTACAAATATTTTGCCTTAAGTAAGATAATTCCGACATTTTTGTTATGTTTCAAGTTTAATATCGAACTAGTCAGATTTTGTTTGCGTTCGTGTAACTCGAATTATTATTCGAGAAATTCCTGCCAAAGTGAAGTATTAAATTATAGATAACAATTGCAGATAAAGGGTTTTGTACAGTAATTTACAGTAAAAGTCTATTTAGAGATTATAAGCTTTGCTTTCGCAACCAATCATTGAAATTGTAATATCAATGTGTAAAATTGTTAATTTAGTTTTAAGTTGGATAAAACAATTCCCAACGATTTCGATATGCTTTTTTCCAGGAAATTCGTAATGCATTTAAAAATTTCGTTATCTAGGCAAGGATTTTTCAGTTAAGATAAGAATGTTTTAGTAAATATTCTGGGATTTTAATCTATCTGAAACGATGCTTTGAGATTCATGAATGAATTAATTCTACGTCGAAATTAACCAGAATATTACTTGGATCTAATGTAATGGTTTGTTATTGTTCAATGAAATTAAGGAGGAATTAAGTAGGAAACTATAAGTTTTTGCTGTAAAGGGTTTTAACACTGAAGGTAGATATTTTGCTGGAGAATGTATTGGAGCATGAGTGGTGCTGAAAATAGATCTTTTTCAACAATTCTGATAGAGAAGAATCCTTTATAACAGATGTAAGGTGGCGTTCAACAGATGACGTAGGATCTTTTTTAGTTGACGATAGGATCCGTCTGTAAAAATATCTTCAATTTTTTTCTGACATTCAATTTTGTTTATGACCATTTTCTTTATCTGCTCTAAGAATTACGATGTCGTGATTAGATTTTAGAAATTTTAGAGCAATGCGTCCAGACTTCGGAACATTAGAGGTTTGGAATTTTTAAGGGATTCTGAGACTTCAAATCGAATTTCATTAGCTGTTTGAGATGGCAATTTGTTTAGGATATACTCCACATTTGAAATGATTTCCTCTTTTAGGACATAACGTGGGGCAAGGACGAAGTTTGAATCTTTTGTAAGAACTGATTTCACCGTCCCGGAACAGTGGTGCTGATGCGATGATACATTTATATTATATACGGGAATATAATATATAAGCGGATACAAAGTAGAATGTGAGCGAGTGTTAATTAGGCTCTGAAGAACCAAACAAGATGAAGATTTGTAAATAGATGGTATTAAGGTAGCGTGTGGACGTTTCTTTAAGAAATTAAGTTTTTATAATCTTATCAGGTTGTAATTCAGTTTTTACCTCATTCTGTAATTGGGTTTTACCTGTATTAAATTAATAAATAAATAAATTTGGGTTTGAGACTGCTCTACTGAAGTAAAATATATATAAATGGTTCTAATAACAAAATATCTATCTTCAATCACGTACAATATATTAAATTACATTTTTTATTAACTCTTTTAGTGAGATACATTTTTCTTAATAGATATCTGCTATCTAGTTCGGTTGTTATATTAGATTTTTCTAGAAACATTTATTTAAAATAATAAAATAATAGGTAATAAATAGATCATCAATACAATTCAATAATTCATCTCAATTTTGTACAGGCATAGAATATGCACTAGTTCATGTATAGGTAAACAAATCCCAGAACATGTCAAATTGCCACTTAGATATATATAAAATACCAAATAATTAGTGTTTTTTTTTTTAAATAATATTACATCTTCCAAATTTTTTTAATAAGTCAAGGTATACAAGGCCTATCAAAAACGGATCAATAAATCGATGAAAAAACCGATTTACAAGCATTTATCAGTACAGGAAGGTTTTTTTATTTTAGCAGTGTGACACCTTAGAAATTTTGAAGTCATTTGCCATTATTGCTGTTACAGTCATTATTTAATATATTTAGACCGCAGATGGAAAAAAAATTCGAAAAAGAATGGAAAACCGTGTTACGAATATATGAAGTAAAATTTACTTTTAATACTTACATATTTTGTGTTTTATCGAACAATTGCACATACTGTTTCTACGTATTTAAATTAATTTTTTTTTTTAAAGATACAGGATTATTTCTAAGAAGCTATTGGGACTCAGAATATAGGGAAACTTGAAAGAACATATCATGAAAATTTCTCAGAAATTTAAAAATAGTATGATATGGAGCATATTCGAAGCTTCCAAAGTAATTGTTCCAAGAATTTGTACTTAATACGTCATGGATTGAAATTGAAATATATGTTATCGACAATCGTATATTTGTTTTAAATTTCCTAATACTGTAGGAATGTTTTTACGACAGTAGATATTAAGTATTCGTTATTACTTACTTGTACACTCGTTGTTTTGTAAAATATTATTGATCCTTTACTTCCTCTGAGTTAATGGAGTTGATCAACACTGTTCTCCACGCATTATTCGCTAACACCACTTTGATTCAACTAAATGAGTACTTATGCAATTTTTTCGTTGTCGATACACATATGTCAAGAACGAGTAATCCTTATATCAATTTTTCTTGACCTTTTGAACCTGTGTTTGTTATTTATGTTATGAATCAGAACAATAAACAAATTATATACCGAGAGCTTTAAATTCTCTAAGCAGTATTATATTTTTAAGTGTTTTTTTTGTTTTGGAGTGGCAGCTATACGGTGAAATGCCGATCTCAGACACAACTTCACCAGTACAGCTATCGTAGGTGCTAAAACCTCATGTACGGCGGAAGAAATCAAGTGACAGATGACTAAAAATTGCCAATTCCATATATTTGTATTTGACTTTACCCTCTTTGTTGTTTTTTGTAGAGTTTACAGTTTTAGACCCCAGCTTGGAGGAAGGCGGTCGAATCTTTTAGCGTGACTACATGCTACTACAGTACACTCTTTAATTGCATTTCAGTAATTCTGAATACATTGTCGAAAGACACTACCATCATTCTTAAGGTATTTTCGCCTTGTTGGGCATTTATTTTCTTTTAATACTTTTCTATTTTGCGCACAGCTATGCTGATTCGTGTAAAAGTGAAATGAATAATTTAAAAGATATACAGTCCATTCAATATCAATGAGGAAGCCATAAGCTCGACAGAACAGCATGTAAACTCAACAAATACTGAATATAATTTTTCGTGAAATAATCATAGTAAAAAAAAAAGAAACTTTAGCGCAAAGGTTGAGAATATCATACAGTCCACAGACATTTCTGATAAAAATATCTTAAGGTCTGGTTTTTCAAAGAAACTTCCACAGGCTACTGTAATACTTTTTACAAAACTTCTGGATTCCTCCTGCGTCGGTTTTTGTTGAGTCGAAATTGGTGACGTTTCGCTTTCTTCTCAAAGGCGTCCATAAATATATTCGCGATGACTGGTGATAGTTGTGGCTATGGGTTCTCCACTATCACCAGTCATCGCGAATATATTTATGGAAGCCTTTGAGAAGAAAGCTCTCGACACCGTTCATCTAAAATCAAAATTATGGAAACGCTACGTCGATGATATTTTTGTTATTTGGCCTCATGGTCAAGAAACCCTAGTAGATTTTCTTAGACATTTAAACTCTATACAACCTAACATACGTTTTACCATGGAGTTGGAAACTAACAATAACATTCCATTCTTAGATCATTAGGTCATTGTGTTTACAGAAAACCTACGCACACAGACCTTAATGCATGGTCACATCCCCATCCGGTCCAAAAATCATCGGTTATCCTCACTTGTTTACAGAGACGTAAAACTATCTCAGCCCGAGTCACTGAAAACAGAATTAAAACACCTTACCTCTGCTCTTCTCTCTAATAATTTCCACATTAAAGATATTAAGCGTTCCATCAAAAAATACACTGCACCACAACCTACCAATAGCAATGAGGCCGAAAGCAATCCTACACTTGCCACTGTGATCCTTCCTTACATTCAAAACATCACTGAGCACATATCAAAAGTTCTAAAGAAGTATAATGTCAAAACCAGATTTACCACTTGTCCAAAAATCTCTCAACATCTTCGGTCGGTCAAAGAAAAAATTCCATTTGAGATGCCAGGAGTTTACAGCATTCCGTGCATAATACATTGGTGATACCGGACGAAAAATATAAACTAGGATCAAAGAACACGATAGAGCCTTACGACTAAGACAAATAAACTCATCAGCTGTTGCCGAACACACTCATGAAACCGGACATAAAATTTTATTCGCTAAAACTAAAATTCTTGCATGAACAAACGAAAAATCCGAGAGTCTATAGAAATCTATAAACAACTTAACAAACTTAACCGCGACTCAGGTCTCTACCTGTCACCAATTTGGGAATTAGTTATCCGAGATGGTGTTTATGCCCTTCATTTAGCTCCGCCCCCCTCAATCAATATATAAGCAGATCCGATCCGAGACGGTATTTATACCCCTCATTAGCGCCCCCCCCCCCTCATCAAGCAATATATAAGCAGGTACAGAGTAAAATACCAGCCAGTTTCAGTCAAGCTTTGAAAAAGCCAACAGGATGATTGGCGAAACGTCAGCAATTTCGACGCAGGAGGAATCCAAGAGTTTTGTAAAAAGTATCTTAAGGTCTGCTTAGTTCCAACCTACGTAACAACTTAGAATTTGGTGGTTTCAAATGACCTTGCAATTATGTTTTGCAACTTCAAAGTTACGACAAACTTTTGTAAATATAAAGATGTGTAACAGTAATAGCGATTTAAAATAATATTTTTCAATTATCTCACGATAGACGAAAACTGAAACTCTCTCTCGACACAATTTAGGATACTGTACAAACCAAACTATCCCTTCTTTAACAGTTTTTCATTTACAGCCAATAAATTAATTACAAAAACGGAAATTTTCAGGATCTTTTAAAGTTTTTGAATTTGAAAGTTTATGAATTTTTCCAATAGAGTAAATGATAGATATTTGAGAAAATACTTGTTTTCTGAAACCATGCAGTACATCGTAACAGTAAATATGTCGAGCAGCGTATGTGTACGGCGAAAACCGTAAATACAAAAATTGTAGCTCTTGATGCCTATAATACTTGAATCAATTAGCCATAGTTTTTACGAATTTCGATTTTCGGCTTTTAAGTTACTCTTTAAGGGCGCATATTTGATATAATGTGTTTTCATATATAAACATACATTTTGATAAACTATTAAAAAATAGGCAAGTCCTCTACTTGGGAATGTGAGCATCTGGTGTAGAAAATTTTACTTTAAACAAATGGTACTATCAATCAATATGTTTAGGTTTAGGTAAATAGAGAGAACAATTCAAGCATTCAAAAATTGAGTTTGGTTATTTCCAAAATAGCATCTTGAAAAAATCCTTGAATAAGTCTAATGTAATCTAATGGGATCTTCAATTTTTTTATTATTATGCTCGTTTAATATTACTAGTTACTTCTGTTACCACGTTTCAAGTGAATTTTGTTATATTTTCAGAATCGCCATTTTTTTTCCTAGTGATAGCTTTTCCTGCCTCGTAAATGTTCATGTATTTTCTGTTGTTGAAACAAATATTTAAGTTCTCTACTTGCTTTTCTCCTTCATAGCATATTCACAATTTTTTATTGTTATACACATAAAGTGGACGTTTAGAAAAACAACAATTTTCGGGGTCTTTAAACTTTTGTCTATAAACTAAAAACCTTGTATATAATGGAAAAAATCCTTGCATTAAAAGTTGTAGTCTCGCATTTCCTTCATTTTTTAGTACAAAAACTTTGGCGATCGGGTTAATAGTTTTCGAGAAAATAATCTTTGCCTAAAAGGCAAAATAATGAAAATAAATTTTCTATAATTTTTAGAAAATACTTGGCGAAACTTGATCGCTCGCAGTTTCTATAGTTTATATGTGGGTGTGGATTTTTACTTCTCTGAGCTATATGACAATGTAAAAACAATTCTAGCTATGATCAATTATCATTATAAAGGTGACCCAATTTTCAGGTTACCGGGCCCACGCTGTACATTTTTGAACATTTCCGACCACCCAGCGGCCCCAATTTCAATAGGTTCCGTCAAGTAACAAAGCTTTGAATTTCGGACACTTATCATAACAATGTTCAAAAAAGAGCGAACAATCGAAAAAAAATGAGTCGCCGAGGTTGGATTGCGGCCATTTTTTATTGCCTTATGTCCTACGGGACCTCGAATACTTTTGGAAATTATTAAAACGATTTAAACGATTTCTCCAAAGTAACAAGGATCCTACTAATTCTTTCTTTAATAAAACGAAAATGAATTTAGATAGTGTAGCCGTCACAGACCATCAATTCCTTTATCATATAAAATTTCACTTTTTTTCTAACATAAATCTACTAAAACTTTAAGATTTCGAAACTTTCTCTCAACTTGTAACTAATTTCGGGACTCCTTGTATTAATAACCTCCCCTAATACATAATGTTTGGAAAATGTCACAAAGTGCAGTAAAATGTAGAGGGATGCGAGGAAAATCATTACCCTTCTCTACGAAAACGTCAATGTAGGGCCAATATATTATCTAATAGCTGTCTGGCAAATACTAATCTTAACCTCAAGCAAAATATTCTCTTGGCATTACATAAATCTAATTGGTGAGGGATAGATAAACCTATTATCAATTTATCAAAAACAGTTTTAATTGAATCTAAACCCAAACCAAACATCGTAAGCTAGTGGAATTATTTCGGAAATTTCCCCTTCGTTTATATAGTTAATTTTAACTGGGGTTCACAATTATGTATTGTCTGCTCCACATTTTAATAAATGCCACATGATAAAATCGTTAAGAAAATCACTCACAACATTAGAATCTGTTTATATTAAAAGGTACTTATCACGCATATAACAACCTTAGTGTTGATAAACATAATCATGAGAATATTAAAAAGACGTTTCATTATCTTGCACCAAAAAATGTTTATTTTGTTACCAAAAAGTGTAATCTCTCGCTTTTTAACTTACAACATTGTGTGTGGTATTTAATGCACACACTGTTAATTGCTTATAGCAGTATCGTCTATCGGCCAGCTATACTAACTCGAGATGAGGAAAGTGCAATGAATTCAGAATGCTTGTATTGCCATTTTAATTAAAATGCAGCTAAAATATTTAATGAAATACCTTATGTTATGCTGTAATGTCGCTCCCCACAATAAAGCGTTAATATTGTTTTTCTATTCCCGTCCGTAAAATACCTAATTACCCACCGATCTAGCGTGCGGGAAGCATCACTTTCGTTTCCCACGTTTCCGAATCATTTCGGGCATTTCCGGGATTTTATCGCACGGGTTTGAGAGCAATCAGATATTTCCGGAGATATTTCCCACGCCTTGTATTCTCATTATTTTGCGAAAATGTACCTAAAACCCAAAGGCCGTAGAAAAAGTATAGTATGCAACACCTTCGGTAAACTTTTAAGTCACTGGTTTATTAAACACTCGCTCCACTCGTGTCAAATAAACTCGTGAGTCAAATGCCGT